ATATATTATTAAGGTTTGGAAGTCAGTTTTTGGCTTGAGTTTGTTTAGGACAGCTGTCGGCGTCCGTTTTTCTCCCTTTTAGGGTTACTTCCGAGGGATTGGGTGGTGCTCTGGTTGTATCTCTCTCCCTAGGTGGTGATTATCTTTCTTTATTCCCTTCTGCATCCTCCCACATCGCTCACGGCCACCCCTTCCCGATTCCAGTTGCCTGTAAAAGCCTCTTTTTGCTGTTTTCTGCTGTTCCTGTGTTCTATCTGCCTTTCTTACCTCTTGGCTGTTGTTCCAGCTCCTCGCTGCTGGTCCGGCTACCAGAAACGACCCTCTTCTGTCTTGGCAGCCGTTCTAGCCATTCTGAACCACATAACTGCCACCTAGGCACTGTTCCAGTCCTCCCCCCTTTGCTGCCATCATCTGGTAGGCCTTGCCAAATCAATATGCGTGGTGTACTTACTGTCCATAACCCAGGAAACTGTTGCCTTGTTGTTTTCTACTATCCAACTGCTTCGTCCACCATCACAACCACCTCCACTTCCCCTTGATCCAACCCTAGTGGGAGTTAGTAAGTCTTGTTCGTTTCTATTTTCTATTTCAGTTGGTTGTTTGTAACTTCCTATTTGAGTTTCGGCAATAATATTTACTTTTTATTGTTCTGTGTGTTAAATCCCGTATCATGGGAATTGGACATTTTAAATTTCAAAGGAATTTTTGAAGTTATTGATCTAGTTTGAAAATCCCCCGAGATTGTCCCTCCAATCAAATTCAGGAATATAATTTTGAATCCTAGAACAATTATATTGAATTTACTTAAAATCATATCTTAACCAATTTCACTTAAATTATTTTTTCATTATTTTATTAATCGATCCAACTATATTATCCTACGCTAGTTGATATTTTGACACAACTATTAGGCTCCATTATCAAAAGATGATACATAAAGTCTTTGATGTAGGATTTCTTCATGCAATTCCATAATGGATTGACAAAATCGATCAAACAAAGCCAAATTCATAGTTACGAACTTCTATTTTAGATAATAATTAAGTCAGTTTGGATGAAATCAAAATTATGTAAAATCCATAAAAAACGATCATTTAGAATCCATCTAATAGAAATCTCACATATAATTTAAGGGCATAAGAAAATCACACATTTGATTGAAATTCACATGACAATTAGAAACATTTGTTTGTATTAGATCCAACAAAAATAGACAACTTTTCTTAGAAATCTATTGTTTTCAATTGTACCAATGTTATCAAAAACACATCCACCCAGTTTGGATGAAATCAAAATTATGTGAGATCCATGCAAACGATCATTTAGAATCCATCTAATAGAAATCTCACATATAATTTAAGGGCATAAGAAAATCACACATTCGATTGAAATTCACATGACAATTAGAAACATTTGTTTGTATTAGATCCGACAAAAAAGAGACAACTTTCCTTAGAAATCTATTGTTTTCAATTGCACCAATGTTTTCAAAAAACACATCCAACCAGCACAACCAGCACTCAAGCTAAAAGAAAAATTACATATTATTCTAGTAGAATTTCATTGGGATTGATTTTTCAGGTCTCAGATTATAATGATTGAGTATGGAAAATATTTTTTTATTTTTATTTTTGTAAAATTTAAATAAGTCCAGCTTATTTCTAAATTGGCATTGTTGGCCCTTATCTTTTGTTTTTTCTCCCCTCCGATGCATTAGATTATTGATTGTGTTACATTCTATTTACATTTTTTTTTAATTTTGTCGTATCCAGGAGTTATATGCGAAGTTAAACAGGATGTCTGCCATAGCTGCTGACATGTTTGTTGGAAGAGAACGATTTTCAACATTATTAATGATGAGACTTACCGAAACAGTCATACTATGGCTATCTGAAGACCAGAACTTCTGGGAAGATATCGAAGAAGGACCTCGACCTCTTGGCCCTCTTGGTCTTCAACAGGTACATTTCACTCTGTCTCTTCTAATACTATGGACGACGGATGGATTCAACACTCACATTCTTTCCTCCATTGTTTTCGATAGTTCTATCTGGACATGCAATTTGTTATCCTATTCGGGCAAGGTCGATACTTATCGAGGCACGTTCATCAAGTTATTGTTGAGATCATAGACAGAGCTATGGCGGCGTTTTCAGCAACTGGAGTGGATCCTGACAGGTAAGTTTTATATTTGATGAGAAGGTGATTCTATTAATGTTTACTTTAATTTGATTTTCTAGTTAATAAGCGTGGCTTTTTGAGTTGGGGCATTTACATACATACCACACAATTCTTTGTATTTACATATTATACCTTCCTATTTACACACATAGTACCTAGATATTTAATATCACTATTAATCATAAATAAAAGTGAATTACAAAAGAGAAAAATTAATTAGTTAATTCTAAAATCTTAACTGCTTCCGCCTATTGAAGGACACTTTGCTTAATAACTGCTCTCGTCGTTTATTACTATTAAGAACTAATTCGAAGCTCTTGGAGGGAGGGGGAATCGGGTCGATTACAAAAAAAAAATTCCACAGAGAAGAAAAACCCCTTGCTTCTCCTTCCCTCGCTCCAGTCAAAGTCCAAGTGCTACTTCCTCTTGGTCGTTGTTGTTCCTAGTCTTACTTGCCTGCTCCCAATCGCATGGCAGTTGTTGTTAGGGTTAGCTGCAAAAGACACTATGAGATCACTGTGCACGAAGACTCCCGTCTTTCTCTGCTTTTGCGCCATTTCTATTAGGATATACTCGCGGTGATTTCTCTTGGGAAAGCGACGACAGGATTACTGCATACAGAAACCTTCGAAACTCTCTTCTTTTCCCCGCATCGCAACTTTCACGCTTGTAAGCTTCTCTGTTGTGACTCCCAAAGTGCATGAGCCTTTGCAATCAATTGTTCTTCCTTCAAAACTGAAGCAGACTGTCGTGACACTCTCTGCCACTTGCTTTGCCCTAACCCGTCGAAGACCTCACCATTCCTCTGTTTAGGGGACCAAGATGCAGACGTCGTCGTCTTCATTGTCGCAAGAACCGCCACACTCTTGCAGTGAAGCCCCTACACCGAAGTTGCCACTTCCTCGCAATCCCGAGTGCACCTCCCTGTCGTGCCTCCATAAGCTCGAGATCGACTCGTTAAAGCTCTGCACTACCCGAGCTCTACCCAAACTGATGCCCTTGTTTTTTTCCCTTATCTCTCTTGTGTGAACTCAAAATGGGAATAAATACTTTTCGATCCAGCGATAGTCCGAGCCTAAAACTGAGCCGAACTCAATTCCCCACTTGCAGTTTCATACTTTGTGTTGTGTTGTATTAAGAAAAAAAGTGAGGAAAGAAGGAAATGATTATGTGGCAATGCATTAGCTTGCCGATCTCATTTCGTTGTCATCGTCGCCGCCTCACACATGCAAAAATATAAATGCAGGGAAATTAGGCTCATGCTATTTTAATGCAGGATAATCAAAGACCTACTCATATTTTTATAGATCAGTAGGTAAAAATATTATTTATAGCCACGGTGTCTCATGAAACTGATCAGTGCGCCTTGTAGACAGTTGGGCTGACAGACACCCCGATACAACCCCCTAACTAGGAAAACCCCCTAACTAGGAATGATTTTGGGAGGCTTCCAAAATTTCAGGTGAATTTTGAATTGTAAAATAATTTAATATTTGAACTTTATAAACTTATAAAATGACCTAAAATTGAATTATATGAATGTAATAAATTGAGAGGGTAAATTTAAATTGAACAACAAATTTTACAAATTGGGGGTTGAGCTTAACTTAATTGTTAAATCTTATAAATTAGTGTTAAATTTAAGACACAAATGCTATTTTTAAATACTGAAATGAAGAATTAATATATCAAATCGCCACCAAATTTGCTCTACACCTGCTAGCGAATAGTGCGAAAAAATGCTTAAAATGAAAACTTGTGTGCAACGTAAAGTCATACTATTCACACAAACTTTCAAGATGTTTAAATGGGTTTATGACTTTATCAGGTTTTAATACAATAATTAATTTGAATGTAAATACCTCAAGAGTTTTGCAAACTTTTTGAGATGCACATTTTCAATCTATCTGATTTAATTCATATTTTAAAATCATATAAATTATCTTAATACAGAAAATGCTGCAGCTAAAATAACTCAAATATCAGAATTAAAAGCCAACATGTACTCCAACCGATATATTGAATGCTCAAATATTAGTTTGAGAATGTTGCGCTGGCTATTCGGGTCATCTTGTCTATAGGGTTGTAAATCTCAATCAACTGGTCTGATTCTCCTCATCGCAAGGGCTAGAGTTGGGAGTCTAGTAATTTTGAAATAAACGTTTAAATCCTAAAATAAGTTTTTAAGTTTAAATCACCAGTCCGATCATTCTCCTTATAAGGACATGAGTTGACATGACTCATACCCTAAAAGTTTAAACTAACAAAATTAAATGCCCCTTTCAAATATAAAAGTTTAAAATATTTAACGCCACAATGATGGTCGAGTTGTAGATTATTTCAATCCGAAATGTTAATCTTTAAACCAAGATTTTAAAATAATTAACCAAACCGTCTAAGTTAAAATCAATCACTAAAAACTAGAAGTAAAAAGTCATCCATCCTCCGCAACAGTTTGTTGAGGGTGACAAATTTATGATTGACTTCAGCTCACAAAGAGTGAATTTTATATCAACTGCATCCCTATATCGACATTCAAAAAAATCACATGCCAATAAAGATATGATCTTAGTCTTCTTCTGTCTGCTTGGTTTTGCATCGAAATGACATCACAATAGTGGTTATGATGAGATTTCTTTGACCGAGTGGTTGCCGCCAATTGAAACAATTATATTACGGTCACGGTCGGAGCCCGTATGATCCCCAATAAATTTCTATTGTTTGAGTTGTGAATCATAATTGTACAATTAATGACATAGTTTTCTATTATGTAAGGTCGACTTAAATTTGTCTCCTTAGACAAACATTCACCTCATATCTACAAATATCTCTCGGACAATGCAACCCATAACTGCTGAAAAGAATATTTCTTTCAGGTTGGGTTGAATACCTCTTCTGACCAAGTAGATTAGGGACCACAACAACTCGGGATGACAGAACCTTGAGATTTTAATCATGTTTTGTTTTCATTCCCCCACCATCTGCTTTAGTTTCAAGTGATAGATTTTACAATTTTAAATATTAAAAAGTTTGTTGCAATTGTATGTTGAATATTTAGTTCTTAATGACTAGCCTTAATCGAAAGTGCTATCTCTCGTTATCAAGAGGGGTAATTAATCATACGGGCGCCTATAAGAAACCTCGAACCTCAAAAAAAAAAATCCTCACAAAATGAGGGCAAAATCCTTAGATTGTGTTTTATCTACAATTCAATTTGTCTTTTGAAAATTTTACCCTCCAAAAGCTCTCTCAACACAAAAAATCAAAAATAAATGAAGAGTCCCAGGGAGCGATCATAATTTTTTGAGTCCACAATCACATCATAAATAGCACCACTATAATTTTTTAAAAGTGAAAAACACTTTTTCTTGCATAAAGCACCAAAGTGCTACATATGTAAATATGGAAGTTTATGTGTGAGTTATGTAAATGCATAAGATTTGTGTGCTAGGAATGTAAATTTCTCTTTGTAGTTTGACTATATATCATCCATGAAATAAAAGATCTTTGAAGTTCTACAAGTTATATATGGTTGAAAACTTATTAAAAGCCTCTTCAATTTGGCGATCCAACTCATCTCACTGGTATGCTTCATTGAGTCCTGTGATGTGGCACAAGCAAGAAATAATAAGAAAAGATGTGATTAATGCCTCCCCTTGTTTTAAGTGAACTTTTTCAAGTAAATGCATACTCCTAATGCATTCTTTCTCTTCTCCCATACATAAATTCGCTAAAGTGAAGCCCCTTTTTTGTAAAAAATTAAATCATATTAATGATATTAATTCTCAAATGCAGTGTTCTTCCTCATGATGACTGGTTTATTGATATTGCTCAAGAAAATATAAGTAGAATAAGTGGGAAGGGGAGAATGGGCAATGGAGAGAGAGACCTCAACAGCCCAACAGCTTCAGTATCTGCAATGTCCATGTCATCAGTAAGATCACATGGAAGTTCCTGATTCTGCATTTTGCCCCTGTATACTGATCCCTGTATAATTAGTTTTGATTTGTTTCATTCAATTTCTTCTGCTGCTGTGTTGCATTTTTACCATTAGGTCCTGATTTATTTTTTATTTAGCAATCATGCTGAAATTTTTCTTCTTTGTTATGTCTGGATCTGTATATGGTAAATTTTCTGCATCCATTCTGAACACTGTAAAATTCTTTGAACTGAGGACATGAGATCATTGATTTTCTGCTGCTGCAGACCGGTCTGTAAGAGGGGAAACTTGGGAAGGTTTGTTTTATGATTTTGAAATTCTGTAGTGGGTTATAAGGTAATATTATTTAAGAATTAGTTTGTGGTTTCTTTTCATTATTTTATTATGTGTAAAATTCTATTTTTAGGATTTCTAAGGGAGGAAACTTATGAGGAAGGATGATGCACTGCTTTCCATTATGTCATATAAAGATCTTGATGTCATTTGTTGATATGATTACGTTGGAGCTTTTTATTTTTTTTATTTATTTTTAGCATTTACATATATATCATATAATTTTTATGGATTTACATATTTACCATCTAAACTTCATTTTTTTTTTCATATATTACTCAGCTTTTTCATCTTACATCAAAATTATCGTTTTTACTAATTATATGGATAAAATGTTTTAAATGTAGCAGTCAAAAGTTTTGAAATGCTGATATGTAAATTTGTAGGAATTGTTGGGTATGTACGTAAATTTTTTTTTCTTTTTTTCCTTAAATATGATGTTAAATTTGTTTTAACCAACACAAGTCAAGCTAGCCCATTGGACAAATTTTCTATAAAGATTTTTATTTCTTTTTTTTTTTAGGTTTAGGTTTACATAAAGACCACTCAGTTAGGAAAAATATTACATCAGGACTTTAAATTGTAGAGCGACGTTCGGAGTCTACTGATATGCAGATACGTTAAAATGCTCGTGCTTTCCTGTGATTCGGTCTGATAACATAGAAGAATATTCTTCCTGTGTTATTTCACGTTATTTAGGTGTTATTGTGGCGGCATCGATGTATTATTGTGTTATTATAACACTGGTAATCTTTTTAGAACACAATAACACATGAATATTACTACAATAACACCTGAATAATGCATATTCGAGATGAATATTCTCATGCGCTATCAGTGGACTTCGAACGTAGCTCTACATTAGGAGTCCTGATGTAAGATTTTTTCCAGGTCTTACCTATTTATGTGTCCAACACTTATACCTAAGTAGTTTAAGCTATGGATTTCTTATTCTTTCAAAAGGTAGTTTAAATAATTAAAATAGGGAGATGCATTTACATACCTATCACACAATTCTCATGTATATCATAGTACATGCACCACATATTACATTTTATTCAATTAATCACTTTATATATATATAT